CGCTCAGCGTCCCCGAAACCCTGGATCACCCCCATCAGGCCCGTGCGCGCCCGACCCCGCCCGCGCGTGTGCGCGGCCGAGCGAGGGCGCCGCACGGGCCTGATGGGGGTGATCCAGGGTTTCGGGGACGCTGAGCGCCACTTTCCTCCTCCCTGGCAGTGAGAGAGAGAGGGACAAGAAGGAAGCGGACTGCTGTCCTGCCAGGCCACTTTCGCTGCGCTATTCCGCGAGCTCCCGGCAGGAGGTGAAAGTCCCCGGCGGGGTCCGGATGGCGCAGTTGAGCTGCGCCTACTGAACTCGCGGCCGCCTGTGCACGCAGGGCGCGGGGACTCGTCTCGGCTGCTCCCCCACTTCGCGGCGGGCGATCTGTCCCGGACACGCCGCCTACGAGGTACGTGCGGGCTCTGCGCCTGGTCCCCTGCTGTGCAGGCTGCCGTACTTGCTGCGGGCTGGTGCTTGCTTCGAGAGTTTGCTCGGGCCACCCGGGACCCCGAGCTCGGACCTGGCTTTGATCCGGCCGGGTTGACGCTGAGCGGAACAGGGATCCGCGGCGGTCCCGGGTGGGCAGCGCCGGGGAGGAGTTCCCCACCGCCGCCTTCGCTCTTCCTCTCCGCGGTTTCCTAGTCCAGTGCGGGGCACACAGGCCACTGCCCTCCCGGCGCTTGACAGCGTGGGTGGGCACTCGATCATGATGGATAGCAGAGGCCGCGGTCGCGGAACACGCGCGCCCAAGCCAGCCCCGGGTCCCCGCCGGCCGCGCCCTGGCACGAGGAGGACGCCCGGGTTAACCCAGTCGCGCTCCCGCTGATGTTAGAGGCTCTCTCGGTGTGTGAACTTGGTTGGGACAAACTCGGGACTCTTGGATGTTGCTAGAAGAATCGGCTTGCAGAGTTGCGCTTATTAGGGCATTTGTTCCACTTTAGAACCCGGATAGAAGTGCAGACAGCCTGCGTGCCAAGCCTGCACTACCTCGGCAGAGTAGAACCTGGCGGCTTAGGTGTGGGTGCCAACAGTCGCCCGGCTCGCTAGCTGTGGGCTCGGGGGACCGGGTCCTGCAGGGAGGTTTTGAGGCTGGAGGAGTGCACAGATGTTCCGGACGAGGACCGCGCAGAGCGGTGCACAGGTGTTAGCGCCGCGTGCTGCGCCCTGCGGTGAGGGATCCTGCGAGTGACAGATGGAGATGGAGAATCAGGCGTTTTAAAGTTTCTTCTTCCTTCGCAGAACTGAAAGGCTTGGTAGAAGTTTCCAACATACAAAAACCAAACCAAATCAAAAAAGCACACCATATCGGGATCCTTTAATATCCTTGGAATGGTCGTTTAGACAGTAGTTGGTTACTTTGGGGAGAACTCAGCTGGTTCTTTTGGGGTAACAAAACGGGAGTGTATTGGTTCACTACTGTGTGCTCCATAATGTCTCCAAGGCAGCAGTCGGGCTTAAGTCCCACCCCAACTCTGGTTAAACTCTTGTGATTTTAGTAGACCCATTTTACAGTTCTCATGCCAGACTGTAGCCGCTAGAGGCTAAGTCACTTGCCCAAGGTGATGTACACAGCTTTCTCTTTTAATCCAAGAGCTTCCCTGGTCATGGCGGGAAGCGGCAAGTACGGCAGTAAGTCCTTGGCCCTCTGTCTTGCTTAGCTTCCTGTTTGAGCTGAATACATCTTTTGAAACACTAATTATCTGTGATTAATTTAGGTGATCATACACGACCTTTGCAGGGGCCAAAGCCCAGCTCCCCTGAGCCTGGCTCCAAATAATTATAAATAGAACCCTGACTCGTGTTAATCCTTAGTCCTCATTGCTTTTATTAATCTACCAGACGTTGTTGATCAAGGCCACTAGGCTTCCTTAGGAAACAGCTTGAGGTTGGCGCAGGAGGTAGGGAAATAATTCTTACCCCCTGAAGGGCCATTAAGGAGGAGTTGATTTCATGCAATCGTGTCAGCTAGAGGATGTTGCTCTTGTTTCTTGACGTCCTCTGCTTTTGGCTTGAATTCTGCATTGTTTAGCGTTTCAAGGCTTCAGCATAATTTTTTACTCTTGGCTTTGCCGTTAACTTTAAAAAGCTCCTGTTGTGACGGAATATGACCACCCCACACCAGCTCTGCGCAACTACTGGGTAAGAGATATACATTAAAAAAAAGATAAAGTCATCAACGGTGCTTTGAACCCCAGCACTTCAAGGGCCAATCCCCTGGGAAATTCGTTGTTCTTTTTCACATTTGCCAGTAGGGGGAGCATGACGTACTTATTGATGTCCTGTGGGCACCTAAACCTGTTTTACTGTATGTTCTATATATTTCAGAAATGGAAAGTGTTGTAGCTTTATCTAGCAAAATAACTAAGATGCTTTCTGTGGAGGGATGGGTTTAATTTCAACTGATTAAAAGCAGGATGACCCTGAGGTCTGTGCCTGAATGGTAAATGTGTGTCCAGAACTTACAGTGGCTTGTAGGGTCTCTCTCTCTCTTTTTTTTTTTCCTTCTAGTTTGCTTTCCTTGAGATGTGTGCCTATAAAATTTTGTGTTGTTTGAATACTATTTCAGGTTATTTAGAAGAGCTGGCAACCCAAAGAGATTCATTTGTGAATCCTTTCATAATGACCCCCATTTGTCTTGTGTATAAAACTGCATAAATGAACTTCTTGGGGAGGCTGACGAATTCAGTACCATCGTCATTATCTTTCATTAGCACCTTCCAAAGTCTGGATAGTAAGAGTAAGCTCATTGTCCCATGCTCCTTTTACATAGCTGTGCGTTCTCTAGATATGTATGTTTCAATATGCATTGAGTTCCCTGAGCAAAAATGCTTGGGAGGTGGGGGTGGGGTAAAAGGGCTCTGGATTTCATAGCTGCATATACATAGTGATCTCTTGGGAGAGGTGACCCAAGTCTAAACATAATTTGGGTGTCATGTATACCATGAAGGTAATTCCATACAATGTTTTTAGTGTCTCTACATTATCACCCCGGCTAGTTACATGAGATCAGTGTAAATTTTCCACTTGTGGGAGTCATGTTTGTGCTGAGAAAGTTTTGGATTTTGGAACATTTTGGATGTTGGATTTTTGGATCAGGGTCCTTTACCTGTGTGTCAGTAGTTCTAAATCTTATCCTGTGTAAGTACAGGTGTCTGTGGTGTGTTTAGGCAATTATGCCTGTAAATATGCTTACAAAGTATTACAGAAAGGATTAGCATGCCTGTAAACCAGTCAAACTGAGTATTTTTTATTAAGTAAACATTTTCTGTCTTTGTAGTTCCGTTAGCAGGTCTTGTTTCTTGTGTATCTTCTATTAAAGGTTTAACTTTATATTAGCTGTTAGGGTCAGATGGATTTTATTTTAAATCACTTTAAAATTTAGCCACCTTTCTAGATCACAGTCTGCAGTTGATACTACAGACTCGTGGTTTTCCAGGGTCTCCTTTAGTCTCCCATTCTTTGATCTAGTTTACTCATTTCACAAATGTTTATCAAGCCCCCCCCCCCCCGCCTCCAATCAGTCCCTGTTTCCGGGCTTTGGAGTTCGGGAAGTTAGAAGAACGTCTTCTGATAGCCGGGGTCACCGTGGTCTGAGGATACCGAGGCTTTCTCACAGAAGAGCATTCACGTGGCAAAACTAGTCTGCTGGGAGGTAACTGTTGTCTCCTTCTTTTTAATACTCGGGAATTAATCTTTTCCTTTTACATACAAACTTAATTTATAAAAATCTGCCTGCCAGCCGGGCTGTGGTGGAGCAAGCCTTTAACCCCAGCACTCGGGAGACAGAGACAGGCAGAGTTTGGGGCCACGCTGGTCTACAGAGTGAGTTCCAGGACAGTCAGGGCTGTTGAGAAACCCTGTCTCAAAAAAACCAAATCAGTCAGTCAGTCAATCAATCAATCAATCAATCAATCAATCAATCTGCCTGCCTAAAAGCTCAGGAAGTCCTGTGGGGTCACTTCTGACTTCTTTTAGTTCTCAAGTGGTCTTAAAATCCTACGAATCTATGAAAGGCTCTACTTTATGTTTTACACCTAAGGACAGACAGGTAGAATTCAGAGCGGACAGGTAAGTGGTAATGTTACTACTACAGCACACACACCACCCCCATGTTTTGTTGTTTTGAATTTAACCCTGTTCTTGACAAATTATAAAATTTCCTTTTTGGGGTGTGTGTATGTGCACACATGCATGCACGCACATTTGCCCTATGCGTGTATGTGAATCTTGTGCATGCCTGGTTATCAGAAGAGGGTGATGCATCCCCTGGAACAGGAGTTGCAGACATTGGTGAGCCACTGTGTGGCTGGGAACTGAGCCTGTCCTTTGAAGTATAGATAGCCTGTGCCTGTTGCCATGTGCTCATTGTTCCAGCACCTCTGTAAGTCATTTTAATGTGTATGTTCTATATTCTCATTGCTACCGGATGGAAAATGATGATGGCTACATTTGTTGGTTAATGGAGGACAGTCTTTCCACCGCCAGCAGTTTTTAATAAGAATTTTAATAGCTACTTCAGTCAGTTACTTATTTTCTTATACTTTCAAACATTGATTTTTTTTCTCACATTCAAAAACCTTAACTGTTTTTTGAAGTTTACATGTCTGGTTAGGTTCATGTTCTTAGAGATCTTTAACTCAAAAGTAATCTTTCACTTCCTCAGGAGTGTGGACAGTTGGGAATATGAGAACGAGCCTAGGTTAGGTGGAAACATTTATTGTTACTATTGTGATTGTTACGTTGAGGTGCTGGGATTTGGGGCCTTATGCATTTGAGACCCCACCCCCAAATAAGGAACACCAGTGTAGTGCTATTTTGTTTGAGCTAAGCCAGTAGAAGCTGTGTGGTGGTGGCACAGGCCTTCAATTCCAGCACTAGGGAGGTGGAGACAGGAGTGGCCTGACTGTCCAGAGAGAGGACTAGAAGGTGGGAGGAGTCTGATGGAGGCCGTCCGAGGTCTCCCATCTGGTTGAGCATTGGTAGAGGTAAGAACTGTCTAGACCGCTCGGCTTCTCTGATCCTCCAGCATTAACCCCTGTATCTGACTCCCGGTTTTTGGTATTAAGACCGACCAGAATTTGTGCGGCACATCAGTGAGAGACAGACTCACTGAGGCGTCTGTGTCAGTGGAAGCAAGCGCAGCCGATGGCAGGAAGTTCTGGTTTCCCTGTCTTCCGACTCACATGTGAAATGAGAACACCACTTCTTTGCAGCATTTTGAAAAAACAAACTGTTGTTAACCTGTTCAGTTTCTAGTTCAGCTGACATAAACCAACCACCTGGAAAACCTGTACAAAAAGAATCGGGGTCCATTTCCTTGGCCCTGTCTGTCTCTAGATGTCTTGTCTTTATAGTGCTTGAAATCGCAGTTTACTTGTTAAGTGACTTACTTGGACTCAGATGGATTTC